GTGAAAATATGATGCCATTGGGCATCGTCCCCTTACAGGACCTCCACACCTCCCTTGTAATTACTGAGGCTGTAAGTGCCGCTCATGTCAGTTCCTTGGGCAGTGAGACTTTTCAAACTTGCCATGTAGTTAGGAAATGTGATGGTTTGTGTATTTTATTACTTAGGGGTTAATAGAAATGCATACTTGGTGCATTCATTGCACTTTAGGCACTATTATGCTGCTACTTAAATGGACCAAGCCCAGGCTGAGCCTTGATCCTGAATCCTGCAGGTTCCCTGAATCGCCGTTTAGTAGGAAATGCAGTGTGGCATGTAACAGTACGCCATGGAGACGGCCATCATCCAAGGGAGCATTCAGAAACAGAAAAGGGAGGCTGTGCCCACAGCTTCAGATGATCATACCAGAGAATTAACCTGCTGATCAAATGCTTTTCAGATAAAACTGCTTCTCCGGCTTAGACTAACAAGGCCATGTTTGATATCAGCTCCCATGCATCACAGGGTCACGGGGTCGTCAGCTTTATGGTCCATCCATCTTCCAACCGCTTATCCTGATCAGGGTCACAGGGGGGTCTGGAGCCTTCATCAGGCAGGATGAGCCAGGGGCACCTTGGATAGGGTGTCAGTCCCTCGCGAGACACATATAAACACGAGTGGAGGGAGCATGGAAGGTGCATGCAACATGTGGAGAACCTGCACACTCCAGTCACTCTCTCTCTCTCTCTCACACACACACACACACAGTTTGAACGCCCAGCCCTAGAATTTCAAAGCAACAGCGGTACGCCCTGAGCCACCCGGCACACATTACACGCTAAATCATCCCTATCCCTCTACTTGCCACTGTAACGTGAATTTGTCACTGCAGGATCGCTGGCACATCCATTCTGTGTTTCCGAAGGATGGATGGTATCAGGTTGTTAAGTAAAGTCTAGCCACATACATCCTGCGTTAGTCACACTAATCTCAATGTGCTCCTTCCTAAGTATTATCAATATGCTAACTTCCCAACCGAAAGCATGAACACACTGTGAACATCTGCAATTGAATACAGGACTGCACCCCCACCCCCAACCTTGGCCAATCAGGTTGCTTCTCAGTTCCGTGCATCCCGGCCTACAGACCGCTGATCTGATGCAGAGAGTCAGCTCTGGAGATGATCAGAACCTGGGCAAGAGGGACTGCCTTGGCAATGTTTCGATCTCACGTGTCGACAGAGGCTCCTTTCTCACTAACGTGATGGAGTAAGGCAGCTTCTGTGATGGAGACAGTCAGAAACTCAGAGTTTGTTGGTGTGCACATCACAGATGATCTCGTCTGGTTCCTCCGCACCACCTCTGCAGCCAGGACGGCACAACACTGCAAACCGTTCTACTCAGGACTGCAGAGACCACGCTGACCAGCTGTGTCACTGTCTGGTTTGGAAATCCCACATACTGAACACAGCTGAAAACACTATCTGGTTTCTCCCATCCGTTCAACATCCTGGATAACCCCCCCTCCCATTCTCTCTTTGTCCTCCTGCTGTCTGGCAAATGGTACTGCAGCACCCAGAGCAGTTGCACCAAACTCTGCCAAACCACAACATTAAGATTCAGCCCCAAAAACCCAACATGTAGACTTTTGATGACAAATGACTAGAGTATAAATACAGTATAAATACATATTTGTACAAAGGTTACCATTAATTCCCCATGGTCCTGAAGCCCTCAATGTTTATTAACAGGAAGACAGGGATATGACTGCTAAGCATAACATTGTTTAAAAATGCAGAATTAAAAGCCTTCAGTTCACCGTTTGCATTGTGGGTAATTCCTGCATCCTGCGGCAGTATCATGATCAACAAAGGAATTGTCTGTGCAGACCCAGAGAGATTTCATCTGGGATTTTTTTCCAGAAGCCGTAGCTGGATTCCTTTAATCGCCTTCAAGATGTTGATCTTAAAGTTGGACACGTACCAGTTTTCAGACTAGTCTGCTCTCTGCCTGCATGCCAGTGCAGTCATCCCGCTGGTCCCCAGCAACAACTAGAGAAGCCTGTCTTCGTGAATATCATGGGACAATTTTATGGTGACTCTTGCCAAGATCTGTCTCTTCATTCCCACGTTCCGAATGATCTTAGATGTTAAAGGTGATCTTGATCTTGGAGTAGCAGATAAGTACAGCATTTAAATGATGATATAAACAGTGAGCAGGTCATGCAGGGGCATGAGAGAATAATTGTTGAAGACATCTGTGGAAAGATAACTTGTTATAGCAGCACTTCATTAAAAGTTCCATATCATAACGACATTCCAAATCTGAGCTTGAGCTAGTATTTCCTGAGTTTTCGCAGAACTGATCACTGCACCAGTTTAGACGACTGACAGGCTGGGAGGTTATAGGCAGAACTAAACCGTCTATGCTATTTATTAAAATGACCAAGGAAAGTCGGTCAATTGTGAAGACAGCTAGGGACAGTGTTTGCTACTTTCAGCAGTGTGTTTTAGGGTGAAATGGCATATCTGCCACTCTCGTAGGAGACGGCTTGCATTTAGCAGATGCTTTTTGTCCAAAGTGAGGCAAGTAACACATCAGAAACATGTGTGCTGTCAAAGAGTCAACTAGGCCTAAGTGCAGCTTGCCCGAGCTTCCAGTGAATACCTAGCGAAACCGTAAAGTCTAATGCCTAGGTTAGTGTAAACCAGAGGTGGAGATTTCAGGTCCAGAGAGTACAACTGGTTGGTTAAAACAAAACCTTGGTCTGGATTTGTACTCTCTGGACCTGAAATCTCCACCTCTGGTGTAAAAAGTATTGGTGCAGAAACTACAACACCAACACAACTATTCAGTAACTACACAACAACTCATAACAAAGTAAGTACTTAATAAGACTATTCAAGAGCCAGAAGTGTGACACAACAGCATTCAAAGAGTGTAAAGAGGCATCAGGCTATAGAGGAATTCCTGGGACAGATGGGTCTTGAGGCATTTAAGTTGCAGAGGGAGTCTGATGACTGGATGTGGTTCGGCAATTCATTCCACCATCGGGGAACCACACAAGAGTGCTCTGAAAACCGCAAACCCCGGATCACCGTGGTATCACAGTGGGGTGTAGAAGAAGGTGTAGCTGGTCATGGGATAGTGATCTGTGCCAATGAGCCCCAATGCCAACATCTGTTAGTTGCTGGTGCCACTCAGAAGAGGAAAATGCACTGTCTGTCCCAGGCCCGTTGCCAGAAACAAATTTCATGTGGGGTCCAGTCACTCTATTGATCAGTCCTCCTCCATAGATTTCACTGACTAGGGGGCTGAAGCAAATCTTGAGGGGGTTTAAGACTTGTTATCTTCCTACCTGGCTATGTGCATTGTGCATGATCGGTAACAATTAATTATTTTTCTTTTCTTTTATTGGGGGGGGGGGGTTCAAGCCTGTTATTTTACTTTATGGCTATGTGCCTGCTCTGTACCATAGCTTCACACTGCCATCTCTTATGATCCCACCAGCCAAGGCTGCTGCCTCCCCTTTGACCCTGGGCAGGGCTGCCGAGACACTAATTGGATCTCAGCAGTAGCTATTTGTTTTGTGTGTTTGAGGTAAACGACATTTTTCTATTTGCTGTAGCAACTGACATCAATCAAGATGCACCCACCTGAATGTAATACGGATGGGCCCCTCTCATAATGTAATAGATTTCTCAATCTATTTAAGGATTATATAGACATGTAATCAAAACCGGCAATATTTCTAACTAAATCTAATAATGCAACAGACTGGATCACGCAGTATTTCACATCATACAGCCTTTCCGCCGTCTGCCCATTTGCTAGTCATTGTCGACCTAGACTCCAGATGAAGGAAAGCGTTTATTCATCCCTTTTGGGAGTTTCAGGCTTGGATAATATATGCAAATGAGGTTGAAAAAATAGGAGCATTCATTAACTAAAATGCACATGTTTTTCTAAGAATTGTATGCCCAGTTTTATATGACCAGTTATTTACTTAATAAATTGATCATGTGTAAAGTGATGTTAAAGATTAACAATCAACTTTATCTATGAACTAACACCACAGGATTCTGTTTGAACAATGAAAGGTGAATGATAAACTACAGGTATTTCATGGTGAATGATAAACTGCAGATATTTGATAATAAATTATAAACTACAGGTATTTTATGGTGAATGATGAACTGCAGGTTTCATAGTGAAGGGTAAACTGCACGTATTTCACGTGTAATGATGAATTGCAGGTATTTCAGGGTGAATGTTTAACTTGAGGTATTTCATTGTGAATGAATGATGGACACCTGCGATGGGTTGGTGCCCTGTCTATGATATTCCCTGCCTTGTGCACATAGCTTCCAAAATAGGCTCTTTCCTATACCAGGCGGGTATAGAAAATGGATGGATGGGTGAATGCTGGGCATTTCACAGTTAATAAATTACGGGCATTTCAGGGTTCATGATTAACTTCAGGCACTTCAGGGTTAATAAATTACGAGCATTTCAGGCTTGATGATTAACTGCAGGCATTCTAGACTTCTCATGACTTCTTAGAATGATATTAAAATGTCCCACTTATAATATTCTTTCATCCTAGTAATTTCCCTGCAGGATTTACATTCTTCTTCTTTGAAGGATAGACAGTCCATCCAGAGGGATTAAGAGAGCCTATCCTTGCTGTCTCTCATGTCACATAATGCCACCTATCTGAAGTGTGTCACCTGAATTCTGATTGCCTCGCCTGAGAGTCACGGTGGCCACTCAGCTCCCGCACTGGTGACAACTCCAGGGGCTTTAACCTCTCGCTTTCTTGCGTTGGCATCTATTCAGCATCATTGTGGAGAAAAAGGCAACAAAAACACTCAAAAAATCCATGGTGAAATAAGGTTGTATGTACGAAATACCAGGCTTATTTGGATTTAATTGCTGACATGGTTTGTAAATTTGTGCAAACATCAAAATATAGGTGTCCGGCCAAACAAGACAAGCACAAGTGGATCCAGTCAACTAAGTTTATTAGGGATCAAACAAGGGGTAGTCGATAGCTGGGTCCAAGTCATTGTTAAGAGCTGTCCGATCCTAATGCCAGAAGCCAAAATGCAATCCAAAGTCGTCGTTGTGAGAGGGGAAGCCGAAGGTCGAGAAGCCGGTAGATCAGTCCTGCGACGCAGATGACGAACACGGGGGAATACACGAGGGGCTTCACGGGACAGGTGGACAAGGAGGGCAGGCAGGAGGCGCAGAAGACTCAGGAAGGGCAAGAAGGATGGACTGCAACTGGGGAAGAAACACAGAGTTAACTCGTTCAGCACGTGCATAGCAACAATACCTCGCACTGGCAATAGCACAGTGCTGTTGCCAGTGCGAGGTTTAAGTACAGTCTGTTAATTGGTGGCAGTTGGTGTCAGCTGTCTTCGCGATGTGGGCATGACAGACCCCCCCCCCCGACAGCCGCCTCCTAGAGGCCGATGACATGTAAGCGTGGCCGCGGCACTCTGGGTGCGACCTATGGAACTGGGTGATGAGGGATGGGTCCAGGATGTCCAATTGCCAATTCTAAGGAAGACGGTAACTTAGGTAGGGGCATAAGCCAGCACATCTTCGAAAAACAATCTTCTAGGGTTAAAATACTGGTGTTTCTTCTAGATGGGGGCAAATCGGTGATAAAATCAAATGCAATATGCGACTAAGGGCGGACGGGTACTGGTGGGGGTTGTAAGAGTCCTGAGGGTGGACCGGTGGGAGTTTTATGTTGAAAACATAGAGGGCAAGATAGGACACACCTTTCCGTTTCCGTACGCCACCTTGGCCACCAGTAGTGTTTCTCCAGAATGCAGGAAGTGGCTTTGATCCCAGGATGTCCTGACCCTAGAGATGTGTGCACCCATTGGAGGACTTCATTGTGTAGCTGAGAGGGAACAAAGGTCTTCTCTGGCGGGCATTCCGGAGGAGGAGGAGCATTCTGATTAAAGTCAAGGAGACGTTGTTCCAGGTCCCAGGTGACAGGGCTCAGAAAACAAGAGGAAGGCAAGATATGTAACAATGGTTAGAGTTTCTTCGTTGAGGGGAATCGGCGAGAGAGGGCATCTGCCTTGACATTCCTGGGACCAGGGAGGTAGGTGACCTGAAAGTTGAAATGGGTGAAGAACAGTGCCCAGTAAGCTTGGCGGGCATTAAGACGTTTGGCTTCTCGAAGATATTGCAAGTTGCGGTGATCTGTAAGCACCTGGAAGGGATGTATAACATAATTATGTTCTGCCTCAGTAAGCTTTTTAGACAGGAAGGCACATGGATGGATCTTACCAGAGAGGGGGTCCCTTTGGCCTGGACTGCCCCGATGCCCACCTCAGAGGCATCTACTTCCACCTGGAATGGAAGTTGGGGGTCAGGTTGTCTCACAATAGAGGCAGAGCAGAAATGTCACTTCAGATCTTTGAAAACAAGAAGTGCCCCTGGGGTCCATTTTAGTCTCTTCTCTCCGTTTCTTATTAGGTCCATAAGTCGAGCTGCCAAAGCACTAAAACTCTGGATAAACAGTCTGTAAAAATTTGCAAAACCCAAGAATCGCTGAAGTTCTTTAATGGTTTTAGGTTGGGGCCAATCTCAAATGGCAGTGACCTTGTCTTGGTCCATAGCAACTCCCCCTGGGGATATGACATACCCTAGGAACTTCACTGTGACAGAATGGAACTCACACTTCTTACCTTTCATGTAGAGTCGATTCTGTCTAAGACGCTGAAGTACCTGTCGTACGTGCTCAATGTGCTGTTCTTCTGTTTCAGAATAAATCAAAATATCGTCAATATAAGCAATCACAAAGAGATGTAACATGTCACTTAACACCTCATTGATAAATGACTGGAAGACTGAGGGGCTGTTAGAAAGCCCATAAGGCATCACAAGGTACTCGTACTGCCCAGTAGTAGTGATGAAAGTGGTTTTCCACGCATCCCCTTCCTTTATTCTGATCAGGTTGTAGGCACTTCTCAAGTCCAACTTCGTAAAAATGCATGCTGCTCTAAGGCTGAGGGGATCAGAGGGAGAGGTTCTCTTCTTTTCTTGGTGATTTTGTTGTGCTCGATAATCTATACAGGGTTGCAAACCTCCATCCTTCTTGGCTACAAAAAAGAACCCAGACGGAAAAGGAGATGTGGAGGGACGAATGATACCCTGTTTTAGAGACTCCGGTACATAAGTTTTCATGGCCTCTTCCTCTGGTCAAGAAAGGGAGATAAGACGTCCACAAGGAGGGACATGATGGCACAGTCCAACAGGCGATGAGGCGGGAGACCGTAGGCTTGTGCTTTCCTAAACACGTCATGAAAATCACGGTAAGGTTCTGGGATACCTGATAGATCCTCGGGTAGGGGGCTCTCAATGGATGAGACCCAACAGGTTATGGAAAGGCACTCCACAAAGCAGTCAGATGACCATGCTTGAATCTCTCCACTCCTCCAATCTATCTTGAGATTGTGACGTTGGAACCAAGGGAATCCGAGAATGATCGAGGAAACAACAATTAATTGGATAGTCTCGGGTATGAAGGACTCCCACCTTAAGGCTCAGTGGTACCGTGCGGTAAGTTCCAGACCTGAGGAGAGAGGTCTTCCATCTACTCCTCGTACTATTAATGGCTGAGGCATCTTCTCCAATGGGATTTGGTGTTGCTGTGCAAACGGTGCTTCTACAAAACTTCCCGCTGCGCATAGTAAACCTAGACCTTTGACACATTCTATATCCCAGCAAAGAATGACAGGTACCACTAACTGGGCTTTAGTAAGGTCAGGAGAAATTAGTGTTCTTACCTGAGTCTCCTCCGGGTGGTTCCATGTGGGTCGCTTCGGGCATAAGCACATGAAATGCCCCGCTTCGCATCTTTCTCGTTCTTTCAGGGCGAGTGGCGTACGTCCTAACACCATTGACTCCGGCTCCATTGGACATGGTGATGGGGCTGCAGCCAGTCCTTCTATTCGCACTGCGGTTCTGCGGTGCTTGTGGAGGATGGTGTCTAGGGTGATTGACAGACTCACGTATTCTCCGAAGGTCCTCATAGCACCCTGATATGCCAGTTCAGCCCGTAATTCCGGGCGAAGAGCATGGCGATAGAGGGTTTGTGAGCAGGGTACTATTCTCTTCCCAAAGAGAGGTGGCCTAGGTAAGAGCTTTTCCAAAGAGCAGGGAGATTATGAAATGTACTTGATCCTGATCGGAGGAGAATTGGTCCCGTTGGTGCTCGATATATAAGCCACATTGCATCAAGAAAGCCTTGCACTGGTCATGGTTCCCATCGTACCATTTTGGCAGGGCTACCGGTACCGGAAGCCGTGGGGGTGAAGTAGCAAGGAGTTGCCTTACGACGTCCGTTAGATGTGAGATATGGGCCTGCACCTGTTGGAGTTGATCCTGAATGTCTTGAGGGTCCATATTAAAGGCGAGGTATTCTGTCCTGCCAAACAAGACAAGCACAAGTGGATCCAGGCAACCATTTATTTTTAGTGGTCAAACAAGGGGTAGTCGACAGCCGGGTCCAAGTCATAATAATGCCAGAAGCCAAAATGCAATCCAAAGTCGTTGTAGAGGGAGAGGAAGCCGAAGGTTGGGTGGAAGGGCAAAAGGGCAGGCAGAAGTCGCGGGAGGCTCAGGAAGGGCAAGAAGGACGGACTGTAACTGGGGAAGAAACACAGAGTTAACCAACTCAGCACGTGCATCCTTTGTCTTCTAATATAAATAGCAGCTTTATTAATAATAATGATAATAATGCCGCTGTGGATTATCAGAACACCCCCTAATCTCATCAGCTGCTTCAAAGCCAGCAAAGAAGAACATGTCCTCTCTGGAGGTCTGAAATGGCACTACAGTGATCCCCCACCTAACGTGGAAGATGCGTTCCAGACCCATCAGCGATATAGAATGGCCATATTAATAAACATTTTTTTTTTATAGTTTAAGCCTTAAATTACCCCTCCCACATGCTTTAAACACATGTAAACTTATTAAAACAACACATATGATACATGGATGTCGGGCTAAGGATATAACATATTAATAATAACAATATGTAATGTATATGTATATATATACACACATCTCTCTCTCTCTCTCTCTGTATAGGTAATGGAATATATAAAAATAAAAACATATATTCTTTTCATCCTTCTTGATGTAGCATACCGTCGATTCATTCAAGCCATAATGGCGAGCGACGTCCGCATCATGCTTTCCTTCCCGAAGCATATCCAGGAGTTTTACTTCTGAATTCAAGGTCTTCCTCTGGTGCTTAGGCTCACTACTACCAGAAGGCTTAGAAGATGCAGGATGCTTGGGCGCCATCGTAGGGCTTAAAACAAAATGAAAACAATCGGACCACAAGCAAGGTACGTGATATGCAGAGAACTGTGGCGTGTCGGGGGAAAATCCGCGATATAGCGGGGGCGCGACAGCTGAACCACGATATAGCGGGGGCGCGACAGCTGAACCACGATATAGCGGGGGCGCGACAGCTGAACCACGATATAGGGGGGG